TTCAAAAAACAGCTGGAGCCACTTGCATAGGCAATTGCTAAGAAAACAGCAAGTAGTTCAAGTGAATCGGATTCTATTAGTGGGTACTTCAATGTTGTCTTTTTAGTATTTGTCTGTGCTTTTTCGCTGACTTTCATTCATAGTTCATAGACACTTCATAGAAAACATCTGCAGCGCCAGCCACAAAATCTGTTGCACCAGTTGCCAAAAAAGCGGACACTTCGAGTGAATCAGATTCTGAAGAGGAAACCCCTGCTAATGTGACTTTTATCCCATATTTCTCTGTACACTTTCTTCAGATGAAGTTATTACTTCGGAATTGTTATGCCGCTACTTTACAGAAAATCGCTGGGAAATCAACGGTAAAAGCTATTAAACCTAGTGCTAAAAATGCTCCAAGTTTTTCAAGCGAATCAGATTCTGATGAACAGCCTCCTTTTAATGTGATTTTTTTCCTCGTTTTATACTCATCACTGTAGGTTGACATCTTGATGCTTTGTCGTTATACCGTTATTTTCAGAAGGTACCTTCGAAAGCATCGGCAAAAACCGCTACAACATCTGGGTTAAAAGTGGTAGGTTCTTTAAGTAAATCAGAGCCTAAGAACAAAACATCCTTTTCGACGGCTTCTAACATTGTGCTCTTTGCCCTGAAATTGGCTTATTTCTGGCAGTTTAGTACCTTTTTGCAGAAAACTTATCCGAAACCGACTACAGAAGAGTCTGTTAGCAAGGGAGCGACAACATCTTCAAGTGATTCGGATTCCGATGAAGAAACTCCTGCTAATGTGATTTTTATTCGTAGTTTGAATTGCACTTTTTTGCGCATCAGCCTATTGCTCCTAAGTGTTTTACTATTCATTTACAGAAAGCGTCCGCGAAACCATCCGCAAAAGCTACTACGCCATCCACAAAAGGCGCTACACCTACTACAAAAGTTGTTGCGCCTACAGCGAAGAAAGTGGACAGTTCATCAAGCGAATCAGATTCTGATGACGAATCTCCGGTTAGTGTAATTTTTATCACATATTTGTAGGTGCTTTTTTTGGGTCGACCTATAAAATTGCTCCTAAATAGACTTATTTGTTTGCAGAAAGCACTCGCGAAACCATCCGGAAAAGTTGGTACACCAGCAGCAAAAAAAGCAACACCTACTGCAAAGGCTGTCATACCCACACCAAAAAAGGCGGAAAGTTCTTCAAGTGAATCAGATTCTGATGACGAATCTCCGGTTAGTGTAATTTTTATCACATATTTGTAGGTGCTTTTTTTGGGTCGACCTATAAAATTGCTCCTAAATAGACTTATTTGTTTGCAGAAAGCACTCGCGAAACCATCNCCTGCCGCGAAAATAGCTGAAAGTTCATCTAGCGAATCAGATTCTGATGACGAAGCTCCGGTTAATGTAATTTTTATCACACATTTGTAGGTGCTTTTTTTGGACCGACCTATAAAATTGCTCCTAAATAGACTTATTTGTTTGCAGAAAGTACTCGCGAAACCATCTGGGAAAGCTACTACACCTGCCACAAAAGGCGCTACACCTACTGCAAAAACTGTTACACCTGCCGCGAAAATAGCTGAAAGTTCATCTAGCGAATCAGATTCTGATGACGAAGCTCCGGTTAATGTAATTTTTATCACACATTTGTAGGTGCTTTTTTTGGACCGACCTATAAAATTGCTCCTAAATAGACTTATTTGTTTGCAGAAAGCACTCGCGAAACCATCCGGAAAAGTTGGTACACCAGCAGCAAAAAAAGCAACACCTACTGCAAAGGCTGTCATACCCACACCAAAAATGGCGGAAAGTTCTTCAAGTGAATCTGATTCCGATGATGAAACTCCTGCTAATGTACTTTCTAGTCTTCGGGCATACATTTTTTTCAAAACCAACTTGTTTGTGTGTAGTTGTGCTGTTCGCTTGCAGAATGCACCCACAAAGCCGCTCGCAAAAGCTGCTATAGCAGTTACAAAAGGTGGAACACCTACCGCAAAAGCTGTCCTACCTGAATCGAAGAAGGAGAAAACTTCATCAAGTGAATCAGATTCCGATGATGAAACTATTATAAGTGTAATTTTTATCGTATATTCATAGGTCTTTTTTCGGACAGGCTTTTTGCTCCTAAGTAGTGTTATTTGTTGTATATGCAGAAAGCACCCGCGAAGCCATCCGGAAAAGTTATTACACCAGCCAGCAAAGGAGTAACTCCTATGGCAAACGCTGTCCTTTCTACACGAAACAAAGGGAAATGTTCTTCAAGTGAATCAGATTCTGATGACGAAACCCCTGCTAAAGTATTTTTATTCTATAGCCTTAGATACCTTTTTTTTTACAAGATCAACTTGTTGCTCCTTGGTAGTTGTACTTTTCTTTTGCAGAAAGTACCCGCAAAAGCTGCTACACAGGCCACAAAAGGTGCTACACCTGCATCGAAGAAGGCGGAAAGTTCATCAAGTGAATCAGATTCCGATGACGGAATTCCTACAAATGTAATTTTTATCATATATTCGTAGATGCTTTGTTCTTGGGCAAGCTTGTTTGTTCTAATTAGTGGTATTGGTGATTTGCAGAAATCACCTACGAAAACGTCCGGAAAAGTGGCTACACTAGCAGGAAAAGCAGCAACACCTCAGGCAAAGGCTGCTACACATGCAGCTAAGAAGGCGGAAAATTCATCAAGTGACTCTGTTTCCGATGACGAAACTCCTGCTAATGTAGTTTTTATTCTATATTCGTAGATACGTTTTTTTTTCGAGATCAGCTTGTTTCTAGGCAGTTGTGCTGTTCATTTGCAGAAAGCACCCGCAAAGCTGTCCGCAAAAGCTGCTGCACCGGCCACAAAAGGCGCTACACCTACTGCAAAGTCTGTTAAGCTTGCTGCCAAGAAAGCAGATAGTTCATCAAGCGAATCAGATTCCGATGATGAAACTACTCCTAATGTACTGCTTATCGTATATTCGTACCTACCTTTGTTTCAGGATTAACCTGTTGCTCCTAAGTATTTGTCGTGTTCATTTACAGAAGGCATTTGCGAAACCATCCGCAAAAGGTGCTACCCCCGCTGCAAAAGCTGCTACACCATCTACAAAAGCATCCACACTTGCAGCCAAAAAGGCTGAAAACTCTTCAAGCGAATCAGATTCAGATAATGAGACTTCTAGTGTAATTCTTTCAAATATTCGTAGCTACTTTTTTTCGGACAGGCCTGTTGTTTCAAAACACTAGTGCTGTTCGTTTGCAGAAAATATCCGCGAAACCATCCTCAAAAGCTGCTCTACCAGCCACAAAAAGCGCTACACCTGCAAAGGCTGTCACATCTGCACGAAGGAAATCGGATAGTTCTTCAAGTGAATCAGATTCTGATGTAGAAACTACTGCTAACGTAATTTTTATCATATATTCGTAGGTACAATCTTTTTAGGATTAACCTATTTCTGCCAAGTACTTTTACTTTTCATTTATAGAAAGCACCTACAAAACAGTCCGGAAGAACTGCGACACTGTCCCCAAAAAGTGCTAAGCCTGCAGCAAAAACTGTCTCATCTGTTGCGAATATGGAGAACAGTTCCTCAAGCGAATCAGATTCCGATGACGCAACTACTGTTAATGTAATTTTAATCATTTATTTGTGAATACTTTTTTTCGGTTCGGCTTGTTGCTCCTAAGTAGTAGTACTATTCATTTACAGAAAACACCTGCAAAACCATCCACAAAACTTGCTACACCAGCAGGAAAAGCAACGCTTAAGATAAAGGCTCTTGCACCTGCAGCTAAGAAGGCGGAAAGTTCTTCAAGTGAATCAGATTCTGATGAAGAAACACTAGCTAAAGTACTATTTTCTTTTTTTTTGAACAGGTGTCTATATTGCTGCTGGGGCAAAAAGGATAAGTACCATACATTCGACTTATCAAGCATTGTTAGAGGTGACTGGGCGCATATACTGGGTATTCAATGCCTTGCGGTGGCTTTTCGTTGTATCAAGTAAGTGCTACCATCGTCGCAGACAGGTTTGGTACAAAATTTCCGTCCTCGAAGGGAAAAAAAGTTGGTGAGCCTGGGTGCGGGATCAAGTCCATGTGCATCGTAGGACACTTCTAACCGCTGCACGCGTGAAGTTCTCTGTAGGTGGAACAAATCTTTGTCGCAATAGCAGTGACCATGGCCTTTCTTCCTCTTGTTGTGAAGAATCTATATTGGAATGGTGGACAGATCGAAATAGGTGGTTCTTTGAGTATTGATTGTTACTCTCCCGTGAACCACCATCGAACTAAGAGACCCCCAATTTGGTTCATATCTCTTCGATTGGGCCGTTCTTCCTACTCTGTGAAGCAGGGAGATGAGCTAGCACTTCTTTCATGTGGAAAATTTGACGGATGGTGCTCTGATTACAGAGGTCATTTCGTACATGTACTTTGGACGTCTAACGAATATAGAGAACAACATGAAAGAGGAATGGTACGGAGCAAGGAGAGGGCATGGTTCGCATTAGGGCCTTTCGAAGAAGCCACCAACCAACTGACAGATCCAAAACACTTTACTGTTTTGCACTTTGTTTTGATTCAACAGCCCTTCCATCGCTCTGTTATGCAGCAGAAACGTGGGCTGTTACTCATATCGTAATTTTTTAAGCGAAGAAGGGCTGAGGTGGATAAAACAATATTGACACTTAATCGCTATAACTCTTGTTCCCTCATCAGTTTATCCACCGAAGAAAAAGTGCATGCGGGAATGACTCCTACTTTGTTAACTCTGTAATTAAACAGGAAAAATTAAGCTCTAACTAGATACCGCAAATGTTGGAGTTTCGATGACACTGTTTATAATATCGTCAAATTTTTTACTCATTATGCCTGTTTTATTCCAATTTTTTGCATAGCTTATTTTTGGTTACTTTGGAAGGTGGTGTCTTTTAATTGACTGGGTTACATATATATTAGCAGACTGGTTTCTTTAGAATGTCAGTGAGAATCAAGGAGCGAAGAGTCTGAAACTGCAGAATGGGCCACACAATCCATCCAAGGTTACCTATTTTTTAACACGTTGTTTCTCATTTTGTTCACTTGGTAGTGACTTGATAGAAATGTAGCTGGAAAAGGGTTAACATACTTTCTATAGTTTTTTTTTGCATTCCTTAATCTATTACTCCGCTTTGCCGTCAACTTATGACATTGTGTTTAAGAGGAAGTCGAATGAGCCATTCCGTCGTGTAACGATAAGCAAGGACTCACTTCCCAGTAAATTTAAAGACAACTCTTTTGATAAGGTAAGTATCGTTTATCATTTCTGAGTGTTTTTTCTCAAAGTATTTTTCCAATCATTGCTTAGTCTCACGACAAATGGGGAGCAAAAGCGCATGAAGCTCTAAGTAAAGTACAAGGAAAAGGTTTCCGGCACGAGAAGACAAAAAAGAAGAAGGTTTGTTTGTCGAGTTTATTGTATAATAAAGTGTGCTACTTTTTTACTCTAGGTATTTATTTCTGGAAAAACATCGACTGATCGGTTTCCTCATAAACTAGGTGAGTTTAAATAACAATAAGTCTTAATATTCTTTAAATTCAGGGTAGTTATGGTGGAGGACCAATCAGTACTGGCGTAAATTCCATAAAGTTTTCGGATTCCGAGTGATCGTGTTCCGCGAAAGCTCTCTTGTTTTTGTTGTTGTTTATTTTCATTGATATTGGAATGACATTGTTGTTTTATTTCTGGATATAGTCGTGAATAACTAGTGCGCTGTGTTTGACACCTTTGTTTAGTCGATATTCTATTCTGTTATGTTGTCAAAACGTTCAGTCATTTGTTACATTTTTTTGTGTCGCTCCAAGTTGTTGCGAATAAATATGAAGTCAATGCAATATTATTACGAACTTGGTGCTCCCAATTGTATTTATATCCCAGATATTGATCGATATGGGCCGGATAACCTTCGCTGGGTTTATAGCAGTGTTATTTTGCTTTGGTTGTCGAGATGGGAAAAAGGGCCTGTGAGGAAAGTGTAATTGATGCTTCACTGAATGAGTCCGTGTCATCTGTAGGTCCAACAACTGCAAAAGATGAGTATGAACATCTCTGCTCTCTGGTAAGTCTTCCGTATTATATTTTCTTAATGAACTATCTAGTGGCCTGGAGTAAGTTCTTACACCGCAGGTCTTATTTATGAGCGGTTATGTCAGGATTTTCCGGAAGGAACAAGTGGTTTTTTGGGTATGGGAATAGGAAATGAAGCTTTCAAGATCGACTTTCTATTACCCTGGGCATTATATAATAAATATGTCGTTCTCTTTTTTCCAGCAATCGCGAGGTTGTTTTCAGGACAGGTTAACTTCCTGGCGTATATAACACATAGAACATAACGTCTATCTAACGTCTCGGCAGTATCGCCTTCTTCAGAACCTGAAAGGGTACAGTAATATGCAGTTTACTAGGTCAAACACTTCAACACCGCGAACAGAAAGATGGAAATCTGAACAATAATTACACGATCGCCGGCTTCTCGAAAAACCCATCGTTTTTTACCTGCCTTCCACCGAGGAAGAACAGCGGCTCAGAGTCGCATATGATTGATAACTGCACCACCCCACACTAGAAATAAATTCTGAGGTACAGGCTAGATCACGTGTTATGTCAAGGTATTCTTCCCTGCTGCTCATTCTCGGATTATTGGTGTTTATCCAAAACGCCTCGAGAAGATTGCGAGTTGGTGTTTTAGTCTCCTGTGCGAGGGTAGCGACTTTCACATCAAAGTGGGTTCCGCTATGATTTTGTATCCTATGCTTGCCTAGTAGGGTTTTTCGAAATTCGGTGGTCGTCTAATTATCGTTCAGATTTCCCTGTTTCTGTTTATGCTGTTGAAGCGTTTGACCTAGTAAATTATGTATCATTGTACCCTTCCAGGTTCTGAAGAAGGCGTTACTGCCTGAACGTCAGCTGCCGTTGTGTTGTATGTGTTATATACGTAGAAGAATAAACGTCTGAAGAATAACAACCTCGCGATTGCTGGAAAAAAGCGAACGACAGATTTATTGGGATAATATTGGTAATATCCAATACAGAAATTTGCTAGGTACCCAATTATGCTCTTATACCGAGGGTTTTCCACATGGGGCTATAGTCGTTATTGGAAATATGTGATTCCAATCCCTATTATTTAGCTTGGTGATTCCTACCTTTTGTTCATTTTGTGCTTTCTCTTAACAAGACTTTGATCTAGGTAAATGTTATCGCCAAACCATTGGCTAGTCGGAAACTAGCAAAGAAGCTGTACAAATTAGTCAGGAAGTCTTCGAAACATCAACATTATCTTCGTCAGGGTCTGAAAGACGTCCAGAAATCAATTCGTAAGAATGAAAAAGGGATTGTGGTTCTTGCAGGTTTTCTACTGGAATATTTTCATCTAAACAAAATAGAACAATTTCAACAGTTGGGATTATGTTTAGGTAACGTTAGTCCAATTGACGTTTATTCGCATATTCCGGCGTTGTGTGAAGAAAAGGAGATACCGTATGCTTATACACCATCCCGTGAACAACTGGGTTTGGCTGCTGGCCATCGTCGTCCCGCCATTTTGCTGCTTATTCGGCCACATGCCGACTACCAAGAATTGTATGACGAGGTATTAATAACTAAATAATATTTGCGGCGTCGTACACTTGATAGGTCCAGTTCTTCATTACTACTTCAGCATCGTCATCATTTTCAGGTTCACGAAACTGTTAATGCTCTCGTCGTTGACTAATTGCCTAAAGAGGGAACTGCATTTATTGTTGTAGACCTTGTTGTTGTGCTTGACTTCTTTTTGTGTCTGTTGCTGCTGTTTATTTTACATGAAAGCTGTAGAAAATTATCAGTGGTCTTCACTTGAGGTAATGTTGCAGCATGAATTGCCATTTCGCCAATTTGTTTCATTAAATCTTCAATCTTCTGGACCAAATTTTTTGTTTTCGAAATATCAAGACAGTACAAGACAGCATAATTGGTCACCAGTCTTGTGTATAAAAGGCATTACAATGGGAAGTCCGTTTATCTAGTGGATCAGGAGTCCAGGAATTACGGGCAGTGATATATGGTTATCGTCTGGTGTAATTGACCAAACGAAGCGTCGAGTTGTGTCATGAAAACAAGATGTGGACCAGATACATTTGCTAAAAAGCATAGAAATATTTGCGAGGTGTTTAGATGTCCTTCGACTTGGCGCTTGGCCAATGTCCATGGCGGCCTTTAATTACACAAACCCTGACATTAGAATTTGACGAAGTCACTGAACTGACTCAGTCTAAGCAATAGAGACACCCTAGATTGTTCTCATCCTTGAAAGGACCTACGGCAAATCCATCTTGAATTGTCAGCCAATACGAGTTTGGTACAAAATTTTGTTCGCTTAACGGTCCGGTGCCTTCGCCTTGTTTAGAGCCGCAGTGATCCAATGGTATACAATCGTTCGTCCCCGCGTTGTCGTATTTTGGGATCACATCCGGTCGAGTCCAGTGGAGTGAAGCAGCGCTAGAATAGAATTTTCAACATCTATTCTCAGCTCTTACTACCTTGTGTACTTTCCAGAACCTAGAGAGCTAGCGTGTTTGTAAGCCGTACTAAAGCTGCATACTGATGGAGAACAGCTTTGTTGCTTAAGTATCTCCTTAGTCCTTGAACATCGAATGAATGGGAAATTTCCTTTCGAAGAATAATTTGAGGTATCATAGGGCATATCATGTAGTACCCTCCTAACGGTTTACCGCCTTATCGTGGCTGGGAGGTGTTCCTGGGTGTCCGACTACGATATACAACGGGGTGATTTATCCCCTTGGCAAGGTTTCCCAAGCTGAGAAGGAGTCCGGCGTTTCCATCAGGAAGCCTAGCTAAAAGTAAGCTAATACCAGGATCCACCACCGTCCTGGTATCGAAGTCGCATTGTGGGAAATCTCCCTCTGATCCACAAGGGCTGCGACTGCCCGTGGTGGTGACGATCTCGGGCACACCTTGACCAGGCTGTCCTCGGGATTCCAGGGAACCACAATAGCTCGACCAGCAAATCTCCGAAAAATTGGGATTATGCTGTGGACCTACACAACCAATGAGGACGTGCCGTTCAGGTATCAAGGAGGTATCGTGTGCTACCAGATTAACGTAATGCCCTTGCAATTTCTTTTGTATTGTAGTGAAAGCTTCCGTGCTTTGCCCTCAAAAATTATCACAGTGATTCGTCTGGCGTTCACAGCAGTTGTTTCTGGCAAATACGATAGGTAGGGTGTCCAGTCCACTTGATTTGGGCCGTTGTGTATATGAAGACCCGTAAAGCGAAAACAACCCACTCTGAACGCTCGACTCCAATCGTTGCGCGTCAGAGGCAGCCAAGGGCTCCAAAATGTTGTTCGCAATATGAAAAATATCAAGACAGCGTCGTATTGGTTTATCAATACAACACGATATTGACTGTTTGTCTAGGGGAGATCACCGACTTGACCATTAGAGTCCTTCATGAAAATCCTAAAAGAAAGAAATGATGCTCAACGAGTCCCTCGAGTGAGCAGAATCCAGTGGCTTACTCTTGCACACAACAGGAAGAAGCGAGAGGTTTATTGGTGCTCGATCAAATCACTCGACGATCAGGTATGAGATGATTGGCTATTTTTGCAGATGTTAAATGAAATTCGGTTTTAAACAATATTATGTGGCTTGTTATATGGTTGAATACCTGGAAGGTTTTGACTTTAATTCTTCCATGGGAGGGTATCACCTGTATTACACTGTTATCCCATTGATCGTCGAGTGACTCGAGCGGGTGCCAGTAAATCCTCCATTTTCCCTGTTGCTTGCAAGAGTAGCCCAGTGGGTTCTTCTCGCTCTAGGGACTTGTCGAGCATCATAACTTTCTTCTAGGCTTCTCGTAAAGAACTATCGGGACGGTGCTCTTCCTGCAGTACATTTGACATCCCGAGGAATTCAGTCACGCACGACTCTTGTCCATCGGTTGTCATTCACAAGCGTTACGTACCCGGCCCTTTGTTTAGCTTACAGAACGGCATCTTTCATTTTTGATCGTTGACGCAGGTCGGAGCTTCGGATCCCTTCCATTACTTGTGTGAAACGGGATATTCCTAGCATCGTCCTTACGACTGCGCGTTCAATAACGCATCCTGCTTCTGACGCATATGTTAATGCAGGAATTATCGTTGGGTCGGAAAGGTGGACACGGAGTCGGGTGCTCTTTGTTCTCCTCACTAGTTCTTCGATGCTCTTGAAAGCTCTCCAATCCATTCGTTCCCTTCTGCTCAACTCTGGAGCTAAGTCGTTCTACATGTTGATTTGCCGACCTGGATAGACACAATTAAATTGGTTCCGTTGAGCGTGAACGGGGCATACGAAACCAATCCGTTCTTCATGATCATCGTTTTTACGAGATTTAGTCGAAGACCAATTTTTCCACAGGCTTTATCAAAGTCGTCAAGCATATGTTCCGCTTGGCTAATGTTTGGTGTTATAAGGACGATGTCATCAGCAAAGTGAAGATAGTGTAACTGCCGACCGTCGATTTTCACTCCCATATTATCCCATTCCATTGTTCGCATGACGTTCTGGAGCGTGGCGGTAAATAATTTGGCGAGATGGTATCGCCTTGCCTAACTACTCTTTTGACGTCAATGTTAATATCGTTGTAGAATGGTGATATCTTGATTGTGAAATTTTTGTACCGCTCACGAAGAATCTTTATATGCTGAGTAGGGACTCCTTGACTATCAAGGGCTTCCATGACTGCTTCTATCTCGACTGAGTCAAAGGCCTTCTTCACATCGTTGAATGTGAAACAGAGCGGTTTTTTACTCTTGCGACACTTCAATAAGTCTTTCCACTTCTGTTCAGCAAACACGAGGTGCTATCGACTTTCCCACTCACGTAAAAGTTGACGTTGACATAGACGGTCATATAGGCGCTTACGAACCAGCTGGCGCCTAAGGGTACTCGGTGGCATTTCAACTACGTTTACCGAATTCTCTAGACCCGCCCTTCTTAAGCAGCGTTTTATAGCTGCACTTACATCATTTGAGATGAAGGGTAGGATAAACGGGACCTTTTTAACGCTAGAGTTGTCGTTTGGGGGCCTTCGATTTCCCCTACACCTATCCCGAGCTACAGTTCGTAGCCATTGGAAATGGCTATTTGCCGCGCCAAGTTCCGGGACTCCTCTCTCTGCTCTCTTCCCGTGCACATGTTGGTTGCTGTTCGAAGCATGTTTCTTACAAGCGCTCTTTTCGTGTGAGAGGGGTGAGAAGAGAGGCAATGTACCAGGATGTTTTTACTACTTGGCTTTCGGTACCACTTCCTACCACAACACCAAGTGGGGGCCCTACCAATAGCACCATTTCCTCAGCCGTTCTTTAGACAACAAGAGCTCAATAATGAAGTTGATGTTAAATTTCGGATGTTTACGAATGAAACTCTCAAAGTCCTTAATCACTATCGCGCGAAAAGATACAGCTCAAACCTCACTGAAGTGCAAAAACGTGGTATGCGAGAGGTACGAGAGCTGATAAGATCAAAAAACATAAGACTATCGGTTAGTGATAAGGGTGGAGAGTTCGTTGTAATTCCCCATCAGTTAGGTGTTGAGATAACGAAAAAGCACCTTGAAGATGCTTCGCTTTATCGCCCATCATCTGAGAGGGAGTTTAAAAGTAAATACAGAAAATTGAACCACGATTGGGCCAAAATGATAAGGGCTGCTGGTTTAAAGCCATCAGTTATCTCTCAACTAAAAATTGACTTACCAACATGCCCCGTCTTGTACTTGCTTATAAAAACTCACTAGTATCCAGCGATGATCTTGCTTCTACCGATCCATCATTATTTAAGGTTAGACCTATCATTAGCTGCGTAGACGGGCCAACGGATAGTATAACATGGTTTTTAACCCTAATATTTAACCAGTTGTTGAAACACATTCCAGCCCATCTTACGAACACCCAGATGTTTCCGGATCGTCTACGTACTACGCAGCTCAACAGCGCGTGCGTGATGGAGTCCTTCGACGTTACCGCCCTTTATACAAACGTGTCGAATGACTCCGCAATGCAAGCTATATTCGAACTCCTTACACAACACGAAGGAGAAATAAACATGTACGGCTTCAAGATAGAGCACTTGATGGCACTTTTAAAAGAATGTTTGAGCTGCTCAATCTTCAGATGGTCTGGAAAGTACTACGCTCAAATAAGAGGGTTGGCAATGGGACAACGACTGGCTCCAAGTCTTGCCATTGCGTTTATGTCTGAGGTGGAAGCACCTGTGACCGATCTCGGGCCGTTACTCTATTGTTGTTATATAAATGACTGCTTTGTTCGTTCTTCAACACAAGAAGAAATGGACAAATGTTTCGAGTTGTTGAACGAACAGTTAGAGTATATCAAGTTCACCCGAGAGAAACCGAAAGAAAACTGGCCTCCATTCCTGAACGTCCAAATTAACCTATCAGAAAATGGCTACATTACGAAGTGGTACCGAAAGCCAGGTAGTAAAAACGTCTTGGTACATTACCTCTCTTCTCACCCCTCACACGAAAAGAGCGCTTGTAAGAAACATGTTTCGAACAGCAACCAACGTGTGCACGGGAAGAGAGCAGAGAGAGGAATCCCGGAACTTGGCGCGGCAAATAGCCATTTCCCATGGCTACGAAACTGTAGCTCGGGATAGGTGTAGGGGAAATCCTAGGCTTCGAAAAGACAACTCTAGCGATCGTGAGTG